AGGGATTATCTTGGGCCGAGGAAGTCGAGAACTTTATTTCTGACTTGGCGAGGGGGATCGTCATCGAGATCATGGACAAGGGGAAGTCATCATCGAGAACACCGAGGGAAATCTGAAGGACCTCGAGAATCCAGAGGGAGACGGAGCGGACCGTTCAGGAGACGTTCGCAGTGGTCTTGAAACTGAATCTAAAAGGAGGACCATAAGCCCGTGGCCCGTTAACTTTGAATACAAGGTTAAGATCCAGATGAGCCGCCTGTCAGTATTGAAGGGCACCATCGGGGAGATCAAAAGGGAAGACATCGCAAAGCTCAAATCGGAGGACATCGAGGCCCATCATCGCATTGTGGAGACACAATGGACGAATTTTTCGTCCTACCACGAACAGATGCTGGAGGAGGCTACGGAGGAGATCTTTTCGCACCCTTACTTCATCTCTGACGTCTTCGAGGAAGCTCTCTAGTCCTATACTCGAGCGACAAGAGAGCTGGGGAGCATTCAGGCAGCTATTCAAACGAACAATAGGACAGAATCATCAACGGGAAAATCATCATCTAGTAATCTAGAGAAGATCAAACTGCCTGACTTCGACGGGAAATATGGGAACTGGAAGAGCTTCCACGACATCTATGCCTCGCTCGTGCATAATCAGCCCTTCAGCGACATCGACAAGATGGTGAGGTTGAAGAATGCACTGAACGGCAAGGCATCGGAACTTATCTCCAACATCGGACCTGAGGCAGCAAATTATCAATTTGTTTGGGCAAAGTTGGTCGCTCGCTATGAAAATCCAAGGCTCATCATGGCAGCTCATCTTAACAAAATTCTCAATCTTCGGGAGCTCAAGGAGAAGTCAGCGACAGGACTTCTCTTCATCATCGACACTGTCTCGGAGGCCCTAGAGGCCTTGAAAAATCTTGGAGCGCCAGTCGAGCATTGGGACATCATAGTGGCCCACATCGTGAGGAAAGTCATCGACACCAAAACCCGAGAGGATTGGGAAATGTCACTAGGGGATTCAACGAAACCTCCCGAGTTGAAGGTCTTCATGGAGTTCCTCAAGGCCAGAGCGAGGGCCTTGGAGAACGTCGAACGTGATGAGGACGGAGGAGCATCAGGCAAGCGCTTTCAGAAGCCTAAGTCATCGGCCTCAGTTAATCAGGTGTCTTACGCGAAAAAGGCATCAGGAAAATCATCATCGGGGACTGGGCAGACGTGTACACCACCGGTCGACAAGAAGAGGGAGTGTAGGGCCCGCCAGGAAGATCATTGGCTGGGGCCGGAATGCCCAAAGTTTATGGAACTGAGGCCACATGAGAGGAAGCAGTTCTTAACGGACAAAGGGCTCTGCTACAACTGCCTGGGTCCTCATCGGGTACCCAGATGCAAGA